GTTTAATATCTAGAAACACCAAAGAATTGTATGCAAAATAAATAAAAGTCAATCTGAGTGGATGCTATAAAGTACATATTTCATGGCTGCTTTTAAAGCTTCCCCCATCCAAAGAGAATGTAGAGACTCAATTCCAACACATGATAAAAGAAAGACTGCTTTAATGGATAATCTTAAAATCAGGCTCTTAACTCATTTGACAGGTTACCAAATCCTCTGCAGAACTCTAGAGGAGCAGATACCCTTCTTGATGGAAGAGCAAACACCCAGAGTGAGTCATTTGGTTAGGTAAGTCTTTTTAAAATGTGGTCAAAACATAAAATAAAAATACTGATACATGTTTTTAAAAAACAGAGCTGCCTGTATATAGGCAGTGCTGCCAAATCATATAATAGATATACATAGAACAGAATAAATTCATTTGGAAAGCACAGAAAAAATGGTACTAAATTGTGCAAAGCAATTAGAACTGAACCTTTGCATTCTTTTCAGATTACTGAGCCATGCATGGCTATTGAATTTTTTTCAATTACAACATTGTGCAGAGCTATATATTTCAAAGTGCTTCCCTAGGAACTAATATATAGTTCAACCAGGGTGGTATCCACAGTGTCACCACCAAGGGCAAATGGATAAAGTTACCAGAGGGAATTATTCTTTTGTGGCAGGTTGATTTAGTCTTTTTAAATGACAGCAGCTGAACAATCAACTCTTATTTGTTTCTGTTACTAATAGGGAGGTATTAGACAGGTCAGCCTTGCAATAAAGTTTTTCTGTGAGAAGAAACTGCCAGTCTTGATAAAAAAATTACAGCACTGATAATAGTAAACAGAAAGACCAAGCAGTTCCTGAAGGTGTTTGAATCCATCATTGAAAATAATCTATCTGCTGTGTTTAGGGGCATTGCTTTAGTCAGCAAGTATTTATTTTCCTTACAGTTAATCAACTCTAATATTACTTTTAAATAGAGATTAAGATTTGAGAACAGAAACAGAGGCTTCCAAAACCAAGGGATTTGTAGTAAATGTATGTAGCACTAAAAATGAGTCCTAATAGCTAGAGATTTGAGAGAAATAACTTGTCTCTATATATACATTTGAAAAGCAACCATAATGTTGCAATGCAATGCCTGGTCCCTCGTACAGCAAATATCAACAGGCAAAAATAAAACTAAATTAAATCCTCAGTGGGATAATCACAGATCATCAAGGCAGCAGTTGCCAGTTCATCAGCAGCTTGGAGTGAACCTTAACTCTAACTGAACTTACTGTAACCTGAAAAGTCACAGGCCCGAAGGCTGAGGTTGCTCTGCAGGTGAGCCAATGCCAGCATGTGCTGCACGCCCTGCAATGCAGGAGGGAGAGAGGGAAAGAGAGAGGCCAGCTAGGCCAGCTGCTCCACTGTGGTCAGACACGCCACATCGCTTCCCGCAGGGACCAGGCTGCAGGTCCCACCAAATGAGCAGTGGAGGGGGTGTCAGGCAATGTTTCTTTGTGGGAGCACTGCAGTGCCAGCAGCAGTTCAGCAGGTGAAGCCAAGCTCATGTAAAGGCCTAAAAGACCTGCTCAGCTCTCAGGAGCAGTCCTCTGAGGGCAAGGCTGGACCTCAGAAACCCTCACCCCATGCTAGCAAGTTAAGCCTGAGTATTCCATTTCCCTAGCCAGTGGAACCCAAATTTCTCACCATGACACCACAGTTTACCTACTTGGTCTACGAGCAACCTAATAGCAAAGGAAGTCTTCTGGAGACAAACCCATTCCTCAGATCACTTCTTAACCTGTTGTAAACATCCCTGTTACCTGAAAGACGAGTTTAAAGGCTTTAGTGGGGTAAGTCCTCTGTATTTCCAGTAAGAATACCCTCTTGATGTGGTCGACAAGATTTTGGTCTAGTAAAGGATATTTTTCCCCCAAATACATTTGCAAATTTTATCAGCAGAAGCTTTTGTATTCATATATGCTGAGAAACTCCTATTTGTAAATATTTTTGTTTACATTTCACCTGTTGCTGCCTCCAGCTTTTCCTGAAACTCCAGTATACTGATCCCATCAACACACTGCCTACATCTAAACTAAAAGTGTTCCAGTCCTCCAAAACTGCCATGCAGGAAAGTGTAAGTTAAACACAGTGTGGTATTTTTCAACCTGTATTCTGCTTTGTGTAGAAGTTTTGTACCTGCTTCAGACTCAGAGGAGGCTTCTGCATCATGTTTTGTGCAGCTACACAGTTTGGCTGAATAACAGGTCTTGCCTCTGTATTCAGTCCTTGCCTTGGCTATACCCCCAGCCAACAGCTAGCAAAGTGTTTCCAGAATTATTTATCTGCTGTGCTAGTGTTCAGTGCTCCCCTGAGGAACTCCCCCTGTTGAGTGGCACTTTTATCACTCCCTCTCCTGCATGCTGTGCACTCTCCATGAACACTTCCAAATTCCCTCCAAGTGATGATTATTTTCTCTCATTCCTACCCCTCCTTCCAAATGCCAGGCATCATCAGGACTCAAGAGTGTCAAAAAAACCAAATGACAGTCTTTGGGCTTCACCTCTCTTGGGATTTTCTGCCTTTTCTTTGTAAGATTTTAGATTCACCAAAATATCCACACAGGCATCCTGTTTTTCTCTCTAGAAATTTCCTTCTGAATTCTGCCCAGCAAACTGGAATGCTTCCCTAAGACCTCTTTCAGCCTGCTGTTTCTCTTTCAGCTTTTTCTCCTCAGTATCAATGTGGATGTCACCTGCAATTGCTCAGGGCAAAGAAGATATTGTTAGAGGTTTGCTTCATTCCAGAGAGTAGTTTCTAACTAACTGCAAACTAACTTTACCCATTACAGATGGGCTGTGGCAAAGGCCATCATTCCCCATAACCAATAAATGTTCTAATCACCAGAGTGACTAACAGGGTGAGGTCCTTTTCCTTTCTTTCCTATTGAGGATAAATGTGCCTTGCTCTCATGAGACACCCCTGTGTTATGTATGTTATTCCATCCAGGGTTAGTCAGAATCTGGGGAGAAGAAATGATGAAGACTTTTAGTTAGGAGTGTTGTATTCCATACATATACTTCTGAACTGTGTTCACAGAATCTGTTCTGTTCTAGCATCTTCTTCTTTCTTTTTTTTTTAAATTATTTTAATTTTATAAAAACAAAGGCTCCTTTTGGGGCTTGAAAATACTCTGACATCTCAGTGAATCTCTTGGAATCCTAGGTCCTGTTGAGGACTTGAATGATTACATAGGCTGGAGAGTGCAGGAGTATATTGGGTTAAAGAAGAATATTGTGAAAAACAGTTGTGCTGTAATGGCTGAATACAGAGAACTGCAAAGAACCTGTAGTACTCACATCCATTTTAAGAGCCTGGCCTTACTAGATTGACTTCATTCAGAGGGGCTTTAGAGGTATAATGGAAAAAGCTCAGTTATAACAAACCACACAAGCAGCAGAGGCTGAATAGACATGGCCCAACACAGTGTTCCCTGTCTGCTGAGCTGTGAAGCAGGAGTGGCATCACTTTTATTTAGTGATTGTAAATAAACTGACAAAAATGAAAGAAATCAAAGCCAAGGGTGAAAAGGTGGGATGAAAAAAAGATATGAATAGTGAGAAAGACTGAATACCAGAGATTTTATTGCTTGTTAATGGATTTAACAAACCCAAATAGAGCATCCCTGATGCTTAATTGTAAATCCGTGTTCTTTCTAAAGGCTAGAGACAGCCAATGTAGATATAGAGCACTATTGTAACTTTTCCTTTTAAAAAAATTAAGTTGCACCATGAAGAAATGTTGGCCCCCAAAAAGTAAATTTATACAGAGAAAAGGGTGTCAATCTTGGGACTGAATTTACTGCAGCATCCTGAAGGGAAGATCTTTGAAACCAAACCCAAATGTTATTTAAGTATTTCTGTCATGTTAAAGTACTCTACAAGGTGTTACCATATCCAATTGTAGCTCACACACAAATGATGTCATTTGCAGCAACACTTAAAGGAAAAAAAACCAAGAAATTGTTTAAGAAACCTTTTATGATAAGCTATGCATGAGAAATGCAGATGGCAATAATACACTGTGATTACTTTATGCTTTCTGAAATTCTCAAGTGTCAGTAAAATACTGAACAAGGCATGACAGCATAGAGAAGATACCACAAGGCAAGCTCAGGAGTAACTTTACAGTGCATTAACTGCTCTCATGATAACTGACTTTGCAGTGAGCATCATGCATAGCTGTGTCTGATTTACCCTTCAGCGGAAATATGGGAGCTGGGAGCATGTGATAGGGCAGGCAGAGAAGAGCTGACAGGCTATGCACTGTTACCCTTGACCAGGTGCACTCATCCTGGACACATGGTGATCACAGCCTAAATGACAGAAAATGCTTCCCTCAATAACAAGAACCTTACTTGTTTTATCAAGAAGCTGCTCATTACTCCTACAGTATTTTTTCCTTTGGAAGACGGTAAAAGTTACAATGAGAAAGGAGCTGGGATATGTGGACATGACATCAGCAATCTGACATGGTCAGTTATCAATAGAAAGAAAATATCCAAGATGAGAAAGTAATGACTACCTCATTTTGAGGTATCACTGGTTTGTTCTGCCACTATCATCTTCCCTTTAAGGAACAGAGCTTTCTTCCTTAGAACTTTACACAGAACTACATTGTTGCCTGCAAATGTGACTTTTTGGATCAGCTTCAGGTAGGAGAGTTTAACATGCAGACACCTAAATGTTATACCTTACCATCTCTAATAATAGGATCATCTGATAATACTGGATTCTTAGTTAATTTTTTAATTTTTCAAACGAGTCTAGCACTCAAATATTTTTTTTATAAAAAGGTTGACAACATGGTCAACAACATGTAGTGAGGTCTTTTTAAGGTCTGCAGTACGAATGCATTTTTTTCTACTCAGTGAGATCTATCACTGCAAGGTCTATTTCAGCATCCCTCCGATAAAGGAGTGGTCAAATACTACCCAGGGAAAGGTACAGCAGGCAGGCCAAGCCTCCAAAGCATAGCTGTCTGGTCTTCCAAGAAATCCTCTGTCTGCAAAGGAAAAGGATCACTGATGTTTCCACAGAAGGAAGAATTCCTCCCATTGCAGTTCCAGGAGTGTGTGAGGGAAGGAATGAGAAGGGGGGCAGGAGAAGTACACAGGGTCCATATGCTATAATGTACTTCAGGCTCCAAATGGGCATAATCTGTCCCTTGATTCCAGTCTCTCAATTCATGTCTGTAACTTCCATCAGCAAGAATTTTGAAATATTTGCAGTAAGCTCTTTTTCACATTTGGCTATTGAATTAATTGACAAAAACCCATCCAAATTGCACCAGATGCTTCCTCAACATGCAGTGTGCATTTCTGAAAGGGGACATCAGCTTGCTGCGTGTTGATTTGAGGAAAATTTTTTTATTAACACAGTACTTTGATAGTGCTGAATACATTTTATGACTAGTCTACATTAAATAGACTTGAGAAATTACATTGTTACATGCACTGTGCAAAAGAAAATACACCTCTACTTCATTAAAAAACTAAAACTGAACTTGTTAAATGCTTTAATAAATGCAAGAAGGTTTTTAATTCTAAGTAATTCAAAATTTATACAGCAAAAGGCCTTGCAAGTCATTGCATAAGGTATTTCAGACAAATGTTTACTTAATTTTTAGCAAATTGTATTGTGCTTATAGAAATAATCTTTTGCCATGGACAACTTACAGCTAAATGCTAAGTGAAAGGGGGTTATCTTAATTTTTCTGGCAGAATTGGGTTTTCTTTTAGTAATGCCTTTCTTTTTATTAATAAAACAGAGCTTCTCTGGCAATTTCTGCTTCTATAATTCATAAGACCTGTAGTCTGATAGTCTTAAATAGCTATCCAGTGGTTTAAATAAAAGGAAAATTATCTCTGTGCCACTGAAACAACACAAATTTGTGGTCTGTGCTACAGCTTTATTGATTGGAAACTCTCCAAAAGTTAGAATATTAATTACATTTCATTTTGCTAACTAGAGCTAATAGCCAAGATTAAAATAATCAAAATTTATAATCAAAATAATTAACTAGATTTAAAATCATTTGAGACAACAAAATCCAAGTTGTTTGATCCTGGGTTAAACATTAGTCTGTGATGTCACACAAGTCAAACAAACCACAGTTGTGAAACATTTCACTGTTCTGATTTGTTTTTCTCAGCATAACACATTGACTTCTCTGGAAACTGCAGCACCGAGCGTGATGTCTCTCGGAGTGAGGAAGCATTCTGATTGACTGATGATCATTTTAATGTGGCATTTTAATTTAGTCAAACCACAAGGCTCAGGCAGAGCAGATGTTCAGTGTGTGTCTGAACTAACAGCCCTATCTCCTTTCAGCAAAAATGTATACACTTTTATTCCACTCGCAGAATCTCCAGATATAGTATTTTAAGGTACATCAACCCAGGTTGCAGCTAGGACATGACTGCATTCCTAGAAGCAATTAGATAGTTTTCTTCATCTGGGCTTTCAAAAATCCCAATGCAGGCATTTTGTTATAAACAAACACCTGGTCATGTCTCAGTAACAAAGAAAGATAAAGTCTTTTTGACAGAACTTTGCCCTCTGGTCAAACTTCACTTTTCACCAGTGTCTTTCATTTATTCCTTTTTGAAGACTATTTGCAAAGGCCTCTAACAGGATGTCAATAAGCAGATACGCTGATATGGAGAAAAGTGATTCAATACTCTGAGTATAGTTTTTAGAGCAAAGAATCAAAATTGAGAGCCTGTAATAAACAAAAGATACGTAATCAAGTACACCAGATCAAAGCTAATACAATGTAGTGACAAGAGTTTTCTGGCCGCTTTCAATGAGCTCTAAACATGGTTATTTTCTCTCATAAAAGACAAAGGAAAGCTACAAAGATTAGCACAGTGCCATCCCTCCATTCTCTCAGCCATATTCTCTTACCACGAACATCAGAGGTTTTTTTCCCTTGTTAATGATTGGCAAAACAAGCTTTCACTTCAAAGTTCAGAAATAAACTCATCTTTGTGCAGTGAACTTTACATTCACCTTTTTGTCAGCTTTTTGTATCTCATAGGTCTCTGTAAAGCTGAGGAAGGACCCACAAGTCAGCTACAACCAGGGGTGCTGCCCTGCCCAGGAAAGTGTTCTTCCACAAGTCAGTCCTCACCTCTGTTGCCTGAACCAAGACATGTAAGGTAACCATAAGCCTTTGATTTGGTAAAGATTATTAACTGAAACAACAATGCTGTCAGTAAGTTACAACAAAAATGTCAGTAAGTGCTGACATTTTACTTACACTCTTTCTTTAGTATGTAGGCTAGATAGAAACAACATCAGTGGGGTACCCTTGAAGGCAGGTGACCTCAGGCATATACCAGTTTTTTTAACAGTGTGAAACACAAGATACCATTATCTGAATCCAATTGGATATTAATTAAAGCAGGGTGTCCTTCTGTAGCCTCTGAAAAGTATTTGACAATCCCAGTTCTTTCAGACTGAGAGAATTCATCAATTTGCACCTTCCAGAAGACACCAGCAATAATTTCACAGAAGAAAGAAAAAACTAGGAGTTTTTGTTTTGAGTGAAGCTGTTGGAGGTTGCAAAGGAATCAGAGGGGTTCTTGGGATACAGAATATGTAGGAAGGCATTACTGATACTGTGCTATGGTCTCCTTAAGACATTCTGTAGTCAGAGTGGGAGGAGGAGAAACCCATTTGATGTTAATTTATTCTTTTCCTTTCAGAGCTTTCATCACACAACAGCAACTATCCTCTTGGCTCTTGGAAGTGTTTGGAGGGGAAAAAATTAAAAAGAGAGAGATGAGGTTGAAGGCACAGAAATTCTGGAGCAATCTGTAGACAGAGCACAGCTGGAAAATGTGGAGATTATGTTTTATTCAGTCTTCAAAATTAAAAAAAAAAACAGCCTTTTTAATACGAATCCATACTCTTCATATCCCAGGTGTTTGAGATATACCACCACATTTTTTTTCTCTTTAAGAAACGAAGCAAACAGTGCAGCAGCAGATAGGCTAATGATACCAATCAAACCAATCTGTGATATGTAATTCTTGGAAGGTAAATATATTCTTCTTAAAACAACAAATTAATTATTTTCTTTGCATACTTTTCTCCCAAGAGAAGGGATAACAAAATTCTTGTGTTGGCATGTTGCGTAGGTTTCTCTCCTGGGCTCTCTAAACAATAAGAGGTTATCCACATGTATCAGAAATACAACTGTTTTTATGACTAAGCTACTACCAGAACATAAATGATAAGCAAGTTTTTTCCCCATAGAGTAATGTCCAGTCAGGATTTGGAGCTTTAGCTAGGTCTGCACAGGTGTCTGCTCACAGAGCTAATTAACACTGAAGCTTATACAGTAGCAAAGAAATTAAATTCCACGTCTTGAAGTTGTTATTCTCATTGAGTTGGACTCAGAGACCGTGAATGATAATTCCACTACTGCTTTCTGCCCAGTTGTGGCATTTCTTTGGTATCTAGCAAAGCACAGCACATAGCTGACCAGGCTCCAAACAAGCAAACACATGGGGGAAGAAAAGCAGCTTAGCTACAGCAACATGGATCCCTGTATTTGCTATATACACCTTTGTGCTCTGGCAAAGACCTGGCTGAGCACTGTGCTGTAGGAGGTCTGACTGTGGTCCATCAAGTAGCAGATTTAAAGCCAGTTCTGGTATATCCAGATTACTGCAGTGTGCAAAATCCTGTATCACCTTACAGCCCTCTGACGTTACACTGATGGGTACCAGCTGAAAGCCTCAGACTTTTCTCTGCAAACCCCTTTTATGTCTTTAGGTATCAAGGCAGAACACACCTTCCATCACTACATACAGTACAGCTGACAGCGAGTGTTATTTCCTGTCTGGAAACAGAGAGGCTATCACATTAGTTAGCTAAAAGTTGTAAAGCCCAAAAATTGCAGCCAGACATCAATATGCCCTACAGAGAGTCTCAGGTGTGCAGTAACCCACCTCCACCATTACTGAAGCATGTAAATGCATTAATCCATGGAGCTGATCCACTCCTGAAATACCAACACTGCAATACATCCGCTCTCATAAACTGTTGCAAACTGAATTAAAATGTAGCTATTTCAGGATGCTGTCCCAAGGAGAGGAATGTATTTTTGAAAGGAAAGCATACTGTTTCCAAGAGTCTTTTACCCACATAAAAAGACTTGTAGCCTTGAAATTCTCCCTTAAGCTTCCTTGCTCTATTTAGCTTTTCAGCATCTGATCATAGAACAAGTACTATAAACTTCAGAGCATTCCCTGAAATTATTTTCTCATGTTTTCTTGGTTTATGATCACCTTTCCTAACAGACACCATAAATTAACCTGCTTTTCTAGTAAATACTCCATCAAACTTTAGTATGCCCAACAGGAAATACCAGACCTACAGCTACCTCAGCTTATCTGAGTATCTTGTCCCAATAGGTTTCTTTTGCCCTAAACAGAAAGCCCTATTGAAAGCTTTACATGACAAAAAGCCTTCACACTTCCTAGTTTTGTTGCAGTTCTACTGTGGACAGAAAGTGTCCAAAGGAGTAAACTGGGTGTGAATAGTCATTAATAGTGTTTCCTGCCAGGGGAGGCCTCTTACAGCATTCTAGCCATATCAGACTAGCTATCTGCTTCAATAAACTAGCCTTTAAACTAATTTGTCAATCCATCTACATCAGCAACATTTATTTCATTAATTGGAAGAATTAGCTCTTTGTAGCAAGTTGAAGGCTGTGAAGCCAAAATATACTGTACTTTCTCCCTAGTGACCCAGAGACCCTTGGATGAACTCTTAGGGTGTCATTAAAATGAATAGTTATATAGAAAAAATAGCATTTTAATGTTTATTTAACATTTAATTTTCTACCTTTCCAAAAAGGGAACTTTAAACATTTTTAAACATCTGGTGGCCTTATTTTGTAGTTTGTTTCTCCACTGATATGAGCAGAATGTCTTCAACCTAGAGAAGACAAGTCTGTATTTTAGCCACATGGATGCTCTCAGGTTACAAACAGTGTGGAGGAGGAGGAGATAATAGAAATTCCTTTTTAAATTATTTTAGGATTGACATGTTAAATTTTAGAGGGCCAAGTACTGCTGTTCGCTATGCCACTGAGATCAATGAAGTTTGTCTGGAGCTATAGTTGTATACACAATACTAGTCACACCAGATACTGCTGCATTTTAAGCACAAAAATATTGCATGAGGTAAAGCAAGTTTAATTACAACAACTTAATAACAGAATTAATTTGTTCTTTTAAGTGGCTAAGATTTTTACATGGATGCTATTGTAATTGAGAAGAAGGTGTATTACCACAAACCTCCCAAGCTTACAGGTACACATATATACATCCTTCTTTATACAAATGCTTATATATTTATAGATAAAATTATAACACCAGATATATTGATATCTATTGTGTGCTATACATGAAAGTTATAAACTGCATTTGAGAGTCTTAAAGATCTGTAGTATCAATAGACCCTTAGAGCATTCCTGCAGTTTTTTAACCCATATTTTCTTGGTTTATCATCCTCTTTGCTAGGAGACACCAGAAATTAACCTGCTTATCTAATAAAGAGCTCATTGGTCCTATCTACAATAATAATCACTTCTCCAGTCCTACACAATATTCTCCCACCTGCTCACACAATACTGCAGTCATGCTCCTAAAAGCAGCCTAAAAGCTCATGTTAGCTTAGGTGACCGCCATGTGCTCTAAAACTTCCAGGATCACCAATTTCTAGCAATCAGAAATCTTACATGGGAGGCCTTCTTTCTCTTAAATACAGACCTTTGGGCTCACACTTGTCTGTGATAAAATTTCTGTTCTTCCAAACATACTCTTATCAAACAGTACCCCCGGTTAGCAAAAAGGTCCTACCAGAACAAAATGAGATTCCATCAAAATATTTTTTTAGCAATAGCTTCATAATTATTTACAAATAAAGAAAAGAGTCAAATGAATAGCAGTGGACTAGCAATAAGCCTGACTGATTTCCTGAACAAAAACTCTTTTCTACCCTTATGATGATGATAACCTTTTTATAGATACTTCTTACAAAATATTTTTAATCCTTGCAGTATGGAGTGCTTTTATGTCCTGGTAATTATCTTAATCTAATTTATTAAGTGAGCAGCTTGTCATCACATTTAACTTTGCCCACAATATTTGAAATCTAATCCAGTTATTTGGCAAGAGCAGATTTAAATAGAGGTATCTTCATTGACAGCAATTACTTTTCAATCTTTAGCTAATTGTATGTCCTAAGAAGATTTTAATGATTTTTTTGTTGTTCTGAATCAGTACCAGATTAGCCTGCCTACAGTTACACAGCTGATTATGCTTATTCTCCTCAAACATAGCCTCCTGCAGGATTTCAGTTTTTATTTCTTAGAATTTTTTTGATGTTTCAGAATATTTACACTGAAATCCATTAAAATAATTAAAATGGAAGAGCAGCTCCACCTCCCTGAGAATCCCAAGACCTGGATCTGTTGATCGTTTTACGCAAACTTGTACAGAATTTCTCCAGGAGCCCGTTCTTGCCAGATAGTATCATAGTCACCAACAAAAAAGGTATAGAACCACCTGCATTCTGGTTCAGTTCTAATGGCTCAGCTATCTTTTTTAGAAATTATTTAAAACTCATACATTAAATTATCTTTAAGGCCTTAAATATCTCACATTACTATTGAGAGGTAAAATCAGGTAAATAATTTTTGGTTTGTGTTGTGAAAATGAATAGTCTCTGTTGTGGTTACTTAGACCACCGTGATAAGTAAGTGATACCCTTCATGGCAACTCAGCATACAATGCAATAAATGACCTTCTGGCTGGTTAAATTGCAAGGCAAGACCTGAGTGTTTAATAACCACAAAAAGCTGTTTATTGCACATACAGTCCATTGCCACTAACATTACTCATAGCAGAAAGCATTAAATAACTGTTTTTTTTAAGAAGGAAATTTTTTTTAAAAAATCAATATAATTCAGGTTTGAAAGTATTTTGCGCTATCTGTCTTAGCTTCCTACATTAAGGTTTTCAATTTGCAGCATCTCTTTTTGAAATAATAATAGGCACACATAAAAATGGAATCCATTCCCCTACGCATGGAACAACCTGAGGGGCCCTGAAATTCATGCAGGCAGGCAGTGTGAGTCTATGCCACACTACCTGTCTTCATGCATCATGGAACCACAGAATCATTTAGGTTGTAAAAGACCTCATTGTGTCCAACATTAACCCAGCACTGCCAAGTCCACCACCAAGTGCCCACCTTCAAAGTTACTAAGAATTAGTAAGAATTTTTGCTTAACTCATATAAATAATAAGAACTAAATAGAATAATTACTCTTAAGTAGCATTTTCAAAGTGTATGTTCTTTCTAGTGAGGCAAGGAGTGTTCTCAAGGAAAAAGACTCACTGAACCACTGCTAGCTAGAACCAGGAGGGAAACTCTTCATGTCTCTGGGTTGAGAGGGCTGGGACAAAGACCATTTGCAATATCTAAAGTTTCTGGTAGCTGAAGCAATCATCTGCAGGTTGTCCCAGCACGAGTAGAAGTAGGTAATTACTTCATCTGTGCAAAGAAAAATGGCATTTTACTGCTAACTGGACCATAGAGCAATACAGCCTTGAGATGTACTACCTTCAGGAGAAGGATTTAGGGAAGATGTTTAGGAGTTCCAACACCATTGCCTATGACAAGCTGTGACCCTGGCTGTGTCATTAACTGGGAAGAGAAAAGTGAGTTGGTGTTTTACTAACAAAACAAGACAACCCAAAGTATTGTGGGATATATGACCATACATAACTTTAAATACAATATATAAAATGGGAAAAGCAAGCTATAAAAGGACATGTTTTAAAAATTATTCTTTGAAATTTTTCCTCAATGGGACTAACATCTGTTGATCATTTTGTCCGCCAGCCCAAGGAAGTTCAGAATATGAAAGAGGTAATGAACTGTGAGAAAAGCTTTGCTTTGCAAGAGTGTTTCTTTGATTTTTATTTTTTTATCAAAATTGTAGTGGCCTCTGACCAGTCACAAAATAACAATCATTAACTGGGCTATTTTTGTTCTCGGCCTAATCTTGCAACCAGCAGAATCGTGTTCTCCAGCCCATCCTCATCCACGAGTAACACAGTAAATGCTGCCACAAGGAGAACCCACTTAAAGTAGATATCTATTTAAGGCCTGTTATAATCTCTCATCTGGAGTAACAAAACCCAGGTGCTCCACATAGCAGCTGCTTGTCACTCTTCCTGATAGCTTGGCAGGTCTGCAAGTGAGGAGAGATCTGAAACCTTGTGCAGACATAATACATTTCACTCACAAGAAAATGAAACCATGCTTGGAGTTTCCCTAAGTGATGGTTGTAACAGGAGACATGGCACTGTCAGCACCTGTGTGGGAGCACCATTTGATGGAAACTGGGAACCTTTGTGTAATCCAGACTCAAGCCCCAAAAGACAAATGTGACCAACCTCCTAGGACTAAAATGTTTCTTCCTCAAATCACTGCTTTTTATGGCTGCTCCATCACCTCTAGGCCATACTAATAGATTGAAATAATAGTGCTCACCTCTGCCAACTAATCCTACAATTTGCATAGATGACTTGGTTGAGTGGATGAACCATCTGAAATAAAACTGGTCTTTTATAGAAATATTCCTGCGTTACAGACCTAAGATGCTCACAGTTTTCTAACTTTTTAGCTCACCACAATGTCAGGACTACTCCTTTATGTCCACAGGAAACCTCCATGGATTAGACTCCCAAAGCAAGTTATCAAGATCCTTCCTACCCCTCCTACCTTTGCTTCTACTGCGCATTTCTGAGATGTCGACACAGCTCCTTGTGTGGTCTTGAAACTGATGCTGTTCAACAGCAGCCAAAAGAGAGGGGAAAATCTGCTTTTTTATTTATATAAATCTGGCTAGGAGTTTTTATTTATTTAGAATGGAGTTTAAACTGTGCTTGACTCTAAATAAATAAAACACGTTATTTTCCCTCCCTACTGGTTGCCACCAAGCCGTGCGAATTTCAAAGACCACACAGACAGCAGTGGCTGTGTGGTAAAATGGGGACTGATGCAAAGGGAGGCAGCCCACCAGGAGCTGGGGTTTGCAAGGCTTGCAGGTGAAAGAAGCTCTATGAAAGGCATGCTTTGAGAGTTCGGACAAGTATAACTCTGAAAAAGACATCGGTTCCTTGGATATTGTGCTGATGCTGATCCTTTTCCTTCCATGTCTAACAGTACATTTCTCCACACAGGACTGAGCCTTACAAAGTCACTCCTGTGCAAGTCACTCCTGTCCATCACAATGACAACGTTCTGTGTGTAACAACAGCCCTGTGAGAGCACAATGGGGGAGACAGGCAGGAAGAATGCCAGGGAAACACATTTCAGGCTTCAGTTAAGTGGAGAGGATGGGAAGAAAATATCTTTAAGATTTATTCCAGGCTGCCCATTTCCTTTAGCTAGATCCTTGAAAAAAATAAATTTGGATGCAGTTTTGTGTACTGTGCATAAGGACGACGCTACTTGAGCAGGGAGGTTGGACCAGATGACCTACTCTGGTCCCTTACAACCTTACCCATTCTGTGATTCTCTGACAAGGAAGAAAAGCCCACAGAGATGAACAGGCTGGGACAAGGGACTGAATTCTTTTTTCTCTTCAATCAGTCACAGGCAACACTTCTGTAATACGTATGTCTTCTTTTAGCCTTTAAGTCACAAATTCAATGGACCAAATACAACTTATCTTTGGAGTAGCCACTGGGATGAATTTAGATCTGGCTGTATCAGGAACAGTGTCAGAAGAAAAGTGGATGAAAATTGTACAAAAAACTCCTTTGTACTCTGCTTCACAGGTGAGTCTCATCTTACTCAGTGATCAGCAAAGACACTCCTTCCTAATGTCCCTCACCTGAACATCCCTGATTTCTTTGCATGGTCAGTAAATGATAACTTCAGACAAGTTGATAAGTTCAGACAACCTCAGTTCAGATCTTTTGGAAACACCAGGTTCATGAAATACCTATCTGCCATGTGAAGCTCGTGTTTGGAGGAAGGCAGAAATGCAAAAGGCAAAAGCACTAACTCCTCCTTTTGGCACCCAGCTAAAACCAAATCTACTTGCTGCTCCCATAGTACCTGCATACAACAAGTGCCACGTAAAACCATGAACTTATGAAAAACTGCTGTTATAGACCACCAGACAAATAAAGAATGAATGCATCTGACTCTCTGCTTCATTCTGGACTGCTGCACCGTTGATTTGCATTATTTCTCCTCTCCTTCCATTGCTTCCTGAAAGCAAATACAAGGGAAATCACAAGATTCATCTTTTTTGCAGGCATCTTATTGTCATTGACCAAGGACCTCACCATGCCAAGTTCTGCTACTCACTTTGTTTGGTTCACCAGTTGTTAACTATAGGAAGAACTGGCTGCAGACAAAGTCATTTTTCTGGTAGACCATGGTCTGCAGTTGATCTAAAAGGCTTAAAGGCTTAACCCTTATCTCATTGGTCCAACTGAGGGATCAGAATTTACGTCTAAAATTATAGTTATCTTCAGCAATACTGACCTAAACAGCCTACTCTTGGAATATAAAGATAGAACAGACTATTTCTCAGGGGCTGACTATAGAGCCTACTTGCAAAGGGATGAATTTGCCAGTCTATGCTAAAATGCAGTGGGCAATAGGTCTATGAGGCAAACCTGTCCATACTCATGATTCAAGTAAGCTATTTTACAAGTTACGGTATAATCCTTAGCAGTAGCATCTGCTGACCTGGTGTGAATGTGAACTTGCAAATGTCTTATTCCTGGGGTGAACATCAAACACCAGCAGAAGGACTGGGGAACAATTAGCTGCAGCTACTAAATTTTTTTCATCTCCTTTGGGGGAAAGGAAGAAGGATCAGTGAACTCTTACATGTGAAAGAGAGAAAAAAACAATACAAAGAGTGGCAAGGCAGAAGCAGGTCAAAGGAGAGTAGGAAACTTACTGGGAGGTCAAGCCAACTGAAAAGCCTACTTTTTCTCCAAATAAGGCAGACATTCAGAGTCCATAGCTTGTAAGGCACTTGGCCAAAGTCAAAGTGAGATATACAAAACCCTACCACAAGACAGGAAAAAAAAAAGATGGAAAGAAAGAAAAACATCCCTATCTCAGCAGAGCAGCAGAGTTGGCTCAGAATTTACTGTTGAAGGAAAGGTCAGCAGACAGACCTTACTCAGTGATGATGCTGAATATGAAGAGACGTAAGCAAGGGACAACTAAAGAAGTAGAGATTATTAGAGCGACAGCAAACCCTTCCCAGCTGGGAAGGGTACTGGACAAAGCACATATCTCCCTGTGCCTCCAAAGCTAGAAGCAGTTCTGAGAGGGGAAGAGACCAGTAACCCTATCTGGATTCTCAACCTCTTTCCAAATCCAGCTAGTTCAGATAATGATGCAGCTCAAACAGATTTTTGTTAAGTTCAACGTGGCTTTTCCAGTTCTGTCTTCTACTGACATGTGTGGAGAATACATTGTCGTGTGCTGGCTGCAGGTGGACTATCAGAATCCCACATAAATTGAAGATCCTGACCTTCACTTAATACAACTGGCACAATTCCACTGAATTTATTCAACATGAAGGCTTCCCATCCTTCTACCTTCTTATTTTCACACCCACTCCACCCTCCTCACTCTGACATTCTAGGTGTATACTGTAAGGCTACCCTTCTACCCACAGACTGCCTTGCCCACATCTCTCACATCTTGCACCTCAGGGGTAATTAGCAGAAACTCAGTCAAATGCAAGGACAAACCATAAGCCCTGGGTGCTCAGAATGACTGCAGAGGACAAACACAACCCAGGTTCTCTGATAATCATAGTCTGCAAGACCTTTGTCTGCCACATCACTAGTCTTTGTAGAATAAAGACCATGGATTCTTAGGCCCAAGGACAAGGATATGGATACTCCATACACGAGTCAGGAACTCCTGTCTCTGCTCCTTTATGTCTTCTCACTAGATATCACATAAGACTTTTCCAAACTAGTCATACATATTTCCAAATAAGTTTTGACTTTCCTCTATTCTAACAGCTCGGTTGAGGGTGTGCGTTTGGACTTTCCTCTTCTTTTCTTTAAAAAAAACTTTATTTAGATTTCTGGGTGGCAAAAGAGAGAAGACTTAAATTTAAAATGCTTTGGAGATCCTATGAGAAACCTCTTTATATTTGTGTGTGGTTCTGCAGTTTTGTCAGTTGTCTGACATTTTAATTTCCTGTTCCTCTCTTACGGTGGGATTCTGATTTCCTCTCACTCTTTCTCCTTTCTCCATTACAGAAACCTAACAAGCATCTTCAGTTCTACCATCTGTTTCCTATTCACTTTTATAAATATTGAAACAAATAATTAATTTGGAGAACAGGCAAGATGTAGCCTGGCTCATCTTCTGTCAATATATAACTTCTACCAGCCCTTTCCAGTCTTTCAATCTCCTTTGCACCAGACTATTCATGGTGCAATGAATATGGTCCAATGAAACTGGTCCAGTTTAAAATGGTTTGATGTTTTTTACATTAGAAACAGCCATTCTGGATGTTCTGTGTCCCCACAAAATGCTGTGTCAACACAGTCCAATTGCAAACTAGCTTTTGATAAACTGTCTTTCTGTATTCAGACAACATAAAATATGAAAAACTATCCATTGAGCCTGATAAAACAGCCATGCTGAACAACGTACAGTCCATCCTCAGTGACTAAATACACATAATCCTCTGCTACCAGGAATATGATGTTAATGGGAAGAGAAAGATTGGGTCTACTTTTAAAGCAACCCCAAGCAGTTCAAAGAGATATCACCAAATGCCTGTCTATTCCTGTTTTATATGACAATGCAGTTCTCTGTGTACCAGGAATCTCAATCCATGAGATTCCTCCTGAATGTCCGGTTGCCATTTCCATAGGGCAAAGACTACCGTTTTCTTCTGTGGTTGGCTATGGCTTGTGTCAGCATGATGCTAAACTGTGACACAGCTGTTCACTGTCCATGCATCAAAAACAAGCCCCTAACACAGTACCTAGGAGTACATGTCCTCAATGCCAAGGGCCAATTTAATAGATTTTAATTTTTCTTTACTGCTGCTGAAATGCTAAATCCTGCTTATCAGTGTGCTAGATAAGCTTTTCTGTGAAGGATCACTCTAACCCACCAGCCATGATGGTCAGAGATATTACAGGATGTTAAAAATGTTGCAAAGTGCCAAAATCTCCTCACGAGAATTCATCTAATCCTCACACACACATAAATACTAAAGATTGTCAGAACTCGGTGTCTTGTAGCCATTTCAGCCCTCAGTCAGGAGTGAATGCAACTTTATTCCTTTCTGTTTGTCCATCCTTCAGTGTAAAACTCCTTGGAAATAAACCATCCTTTTAGGATGAACCTAGTAAGGCCACAAGGCCCCAGTTCTGAGCTGGCACAGCCAGACTTTGCCTGTCACACACAGGACTGAGACCACCATGTACAAACTTGAGGAGAAATTACACCAGCCCCAGGAGAGGTCGGCATGGATATGGACCCCAGGATGGTGGCAGAGAGCAGTGTGTGCTGAAAGGGGACAAAGAGGCACTCAGGGCCCAGCTGTCTTTTTGGCAGTTCGTCCCTCTAGAATGGCACCAAATATTGCTCCCTTGGACCATGGTTGTGTTGCCCTGTCCCAAGGTGCTAGCCAGAAGTGTGTCCCTTCTCCCCTTCTGCAAACAGCCACGTAGACAAGCCACACTAAGTCAGGCACTCATCCTTATCTTACTGCCCACCACAGCACTCACCAAACTTCAACCAGTCCAACTTTTCTCTCCTTAGACTTGTGACCATGACTGAATTTATCTTCTGGCTGTTTCCTCAGATGAGCATGCCTTTAACTTTTCCTTGGGGCTTAAAAAAGATTTTTCAACCCATTTTTCCATATCACCACACATTGTCCTGGAGATGTCTCAGGAATATGTATGGTGAGGTTCTACATCCTTAGTCCTCACCAGGAATGGGATTGCAAAAGAACATTCCAACTATTTTAGGTTATGGAAAAAGTAATCAAATATTTCACTCACCACTAGAATGTCATCGTTTTATGCATTTCACAAAGAATTCTCTCATTACGTTAGATAGGCCTGGAGAGACTCCAGTCTCTGTGGGTTGCTTGCATTCCCCTGTTCTGTTCAGAAATTAAAAGCCTTAGTCTGCTTTTTAAGAAATCCAAAGTCACTTGGTGCCCTGCTACTGACCCAAAACTTGATGGCAATACACCTGATTTCTGTTACAAACTGATTTGGGCTTTTCTGAATTTGTTCCTCACACAGCTGTGTGCACACCATTCTCCCCACATACTTTGATAAAAATAACAATTGCACATGAAGAAAAAAGAAAACCCAGAATAATAATGACAACAGCAACTGCTTGAGAAAGACTAATGAGTGCTGCTGAACAGCAGAGCCATTCACTGACACTGAATGTCACTCAGAAGTGACTCAGAAGTCTATGAGGCCATTAGTATCCCAATTTTAAATTTAACTGATTTTTTTATTATTATTTTGGCACAATGCTGCAACAATACAGCAGCATGAAACAAACACTGTAGCATCTGCAAGAATTCTCAGCCTTTGAGCAAAAGAGTATGTTAGCAACACACAGACCTTATGAATGCAAGTAATTCTTGCTGTAGGAGAGAGAAAAAGTGTATGTATCCTTACTTCTTACTCTCTTCCATATCACTGTAATGCCTACAGGTTCAGAGAGCCAAAGACACCAGTGACTGGGCACCATACAAGCACATAAAAGGACAGTTCTAAACATATATGCTACAGCTCTAAGGCTTCAACAGCTGCATGAAATCCAGTGGCATGGCAGAGATAAAAGTTGAGTAAGAAATGTCTGTACTGAGAAATACGTTGTTGTTCAATCTATGTTGCTTTAATGTGAAATCCTACATTAGTGGATTTTCTGTAATAAAATACATCTTCTGAGAATTTGCTGCAAAGCTTCTTCTATTTGACAAGATCTTCATAAAATATCTTTCTGCAAAATCAGTGAAGTTGAAAAGAAAGTGTATTTCAGGAACAAGTATACCCCATGTTCTACATTATCTGAAGGACCAGTGTAAGAAATGACCCTGATTGAATCTTAGTAAAAAATGTCATAGATTTCTTTTGAGAAATCATACATATTGTTGGGACAACACATTAAGGAGATGCTAAGGATCCCCGTTCAGGATGGATAAGTATAAGTAGTACTTTTTAGTGCAGGCATTGGTGCTTTGTTCTAGTGACCCTATGATGACAATAGAAAGTATCAGATATTAGATCTGATACTACAGACTCCACTCATGTGGGCAAATCCCATTGCACTGGTAGATCACACTCCTGCGCATAACTCCCAGAAGAAAAGGTGCATAACTGAGAGCAATTATTGAACCCCTCTCGAGCTGCCTTTGGCAGGAAGGAGAGAAGGGAAGAAATTGTGAATTATTCACGATTTTCAGTTTATCCCTAATCCCTTAATTCTGTCATTCTGAGGGTAGAGACTTTTGCTTAATGGTAGTGCCAGAAATAACAAGCTAGAATTGCATGTTTATGAAATGGGGTCTTAGTTACTTATTAGGATCAACTGAGCTTGAATTAATGTTGGCTCACATTCAAGAGCACTGAGTGGACTGAATAAGCATCACAGTTTTAAAACTCGTTAGTTGTTGTTTGTTGTATATATTTAACATACTAGAAACATGCAAGCACATTAGATTATAGTTTTCTTATAAACATATATATGTAGAAAAATATGGCTAATACAGAACTACTTTCTTTGGATTTGTAGCTCTCCTTACACCGGTGGGTGATAGATGAAGATAACTCTGAATTTAATAGGATACCTTATGCTCCCAAATTTAAGTTGGGCTGAGATGAATAGACACAGCACCGTTATCAACTATGCTTTTGTCTCAGATGGCAAGTGGATATTTTACAGATGGTAAGACAAAACTGGGCAAAAATAGAATGTATGTAGAAATAGAGGTGCAATGCAAGTCAAAGAGAATCCAGGCCAGGTAAAAAGAGTAGCTGACACTGTAGATAGCATGAGGCTTTGAAAAACTTACTGATGAAGGCTATTTGATATGGAAAAACTAGTCCACATTTTGAACTGATGAAAATTGCATGCAAGATACTTGCTCCAGATGCCTTATAAGTGATCTGAAACACTGGGTGTTTCATTCACACAGTTTTAATGCACATTGCAGAGGACTTCTTACAGTACTTGGGTTTTGACTTGTGGGGTTGGTTTGTTTGTTTGTTTGTTTTAACCATGTAAAGGTCCAAAATGCTTAAGTTAGCATAAGATCACAGCTGCATCTCTGAAGATTTAACCGTGCAAGGGATATTCACATAGAGAGCAATGTGTCAGGAGTCACTGAGCACAAGAAATCAAGCTAGCACTTGATTCCACTAACTTTCTGTTTCAAATCAGAACAAGGTTTTCAAGGAAGTGTCCTCGTCATCCCACTTACCGTACTTTAGTTTGCACTTCAAAAAGCCTTAGGGCTCACAAACTGGGTTATGAAACTAAACTGGAAGATCCACTCCAGCTGCACACTTACTGCACCCCCACAAGTTATGGATATGAGTCTGCAGTTAAAAACAGTTCAAGACAGCGCATCTGAAACACGCTTCATGCAGACGCCAGTCCCTCAGTACCAATTGCTCTGTTCACAAAAGCAAAATGTGGGAGTAGAGGGAGAAGAAACAAAGCAACCTGTCAAGTTAATCCTCTAATCTAAGGTCAGTCCCAAAATCTGTATCCTTAACACATGAACCAAGCCCTTCCTGAGCTGATTTCATCCCTATTGAAGGACAGTATATTACCAAATCAGACACCACCACTCCCCAAAAAATGTGCTTCTGAAAAGAAAATTGAAACAAATTCACATCTTTGACTGAAAACAATGGTAATAACAATAACACATGGCAATAATAATAAAATAAATATTACAGGATATGATTCTTCATGAAAACATGGGAAACTGACTAAAATGGCTAATCTTGTCTGAGCACAAAGTTTTTCTAATGAAAAAGTTGGGGGGGGGGAGAAAAAGAAATCCCATTCTTTCATACGCAACCACAAAGTAATGATGAGTGAAGTCAGACTTACCTCAAGGTGAGATGCATACAGAATTAATGTAATCCATACAGCACATAGCCCTGTCATACATACTACTCTTGCCTATTTCCTACCAGAAGCAGAGGAAATTCTGCCTATTCTAGGCATGCTATTTGATTTTGCACTAGTTGTTCACAAAAGCACACAGAGAAAAGGAGAATAAAAACCTAGTTTTAAACATGAGATATATCTACTCCTATACTGTAGAAAACATCAAGAGGCAAAGAAAATTCTAAGTCATGCCACAGTACCTTCCCAAACACAAGTAATTCTGTTATGATTTGAAGGCTGTGCTGTCCCATTTTTTCAGCTCAAAGAATTTTATTTCTTCTGAGAAGTAAGAGTGTCTTCTGAAGAAAACAAACAAAACTTTTTGGTTCTCCCTGTTATTCTGCTGCCTGCTTCAGAACTATCACCTGAAGACAGCAACTGCAGAATGAAGGTATTGAGAAGCATGGGGAAAATGGGAAAATCATATATCAAATACTAAAGCATATTTAGCAGAGCGAGGGGAAAAAAAGGTTGCTGAATAATCTGAAAAAGGTAAATAGGGTTGTTTTATGCAGCCAAAGAAAATAAAAACAGTATCATTCAAATTAAAAACACGATTATAACAAAACATAGGTGCATGCAGAAAATTGCACAGAACAACAACAATGACAAAGAAAAAGCAAACATCACCATCCTGAAAATCATTTAGAGACCTGAAGTTTTTTGGAATCAGAGTGGATGAGATATCCATCCTGCAACATCTGAGTAAAGAAGCTGATTTCATGTGGTTAAAGGGTTTCAGAAAGGATTCATCAGACCCAGCATCATTTTGCAATCCCACATAACATTGATTTCTCCATAAACTCATTTTGATTCCCTCGTGGTTCTGGCAGCAATAAATCACAGCCATTTAAAAGAAGGTCATATTCACATTTTCATATTTCATACACAATCCTGTTGCACTAAAAAATGATCTGGGGTAATTTGCTTGAGGGTTGTAAAGTCATCAGTTCACTTTGGATTGACTTTAATATGTCTCCATGGAATAATCTCATCCTTTTCTCTTTCAGACAGACTCTGTACATTCATTTGTTCCCTAAGTACTTTCTGGAAGGCCCAAAACTCATCCAAAATACAACAGACCACAAAACTTTCTCTTATAGGCAAGCACAGTAGAGATCATGCAATCCACCTCACTTCTGACTCTTAAGTGGGATCTCTGGCTCATTTAGGTACCTCAGTTACCTGTGTAGTTTGTGAGGAGGTAAAAGCACCCGAGATTAAAGCACAAAACCCACACACACCTAGTACCTGCACCTCACTGGAAACCTCCGATCTTCAGTATTGCCCCTCAGGACCATTGATCCAGCTGCTTCAGCATGGTACAGTCCAGCAAATCCAGCCCTCAGGTGGCTCAAAAAGGCTGCTCTGGTTCTTATTATTTTATAAGACCAGCACAACCCAGAGCACAAGGAAACATGGTATACAGGGAACCTCATAATCACAAAGTGACCAGGTTATGCTTAGCAGGGCTCCTGTCAGACAGGAGTCAAGAATTTTAGCTGGATCAGACCTGGCTCCACGCTAGGTCAGTCTACTACTTTTGCTCCCTTTGTGCCATAAGGAATCTGTGTTATTCTGGTTTTCCCATCAACCGTGGTACATCAGTGCTCCATTAGGGAGAGCTGTGTGTGGTACTGCACACACAGTAATAATGTCTGATCATGAGTCAGCTACACAAGATTACTTCACAGGATAGAGCCTGAACATGGGCATATCTGCCGATGACATATTTTCGTTTATTTTTGAGATTAGTTTTAGCTTTCCATCTCTGGGTTTTGTAATTGATAATCAGAGGATATTACTCCATGTATTTGCCATTTACTAACGATTTTGTACAATCTCTTATAATCATTACTGGTTTCGTTTGGAAATGAGGTTGCATTTACTGTTCTTATTTATAAAGAATCAACTTCTGCCTTACATAAAATAAAAACCAAGTTGCTGCATTTCAGGAGCTTATTCTGTATTATCATAGGGACACATTACATTTTTATTACATTTTTAGACTCACAACACAAAACAGTACTGAAAATGAGCATCGCTACCTAGAATACATATTATTTTAAAATAGAGGTTTGGATTTCATACTTCAAGTGCCCTTTTTTTTGCTAGACAAAAATACTTTACATGCTACTAACTTGAGCTGTAATTTTTATTGTGGTTGAAATCCTGACCCTTCCTTGCAGCAAAACTGTCACAGTCCATGCTATAAACCCCAGAGCTAGCAACAGATATCAATTAGCAAGAGATTAG